TATATATATATATATATATATATATTTAGAAAAAGAACACCACTGTATAATATACATATATAGTGTCTTTGTCAAATGCAATACAAAAAAATCGCGATCTGTTGCAATAAATTCAAATAAAGATAGCGAGTTACATTTTCCGTCGATTTTATGCTCTATCAGTTTCTGCGCGATACAAAATACAATTAATTAATTAATTAATTAATTTGTTAACCTACCTACTATGTACACATATATCACTATGTGCGTATGCATGGATGGACCGGCGCGTGTAAGCGTCATGTATCTGTATATGATTCTGCATACGTACATATATTTAGATTTTCGAACGCTATGAAACGTTCATTGCAAAGTCATTTTGCTACATAAGTGCAATAACTCGCAAGAAATCTGCGAGATCTCCCGTTCGTTGATCCTCTCCATTAATGTAATCAAGTCGTGATGATAAGAATTATTATCGGAATAATAATCACATACACAGACACGACGTACAAACACGTAAATAATAAAACCAAACCAAATTGAATCGACATGGCTGTACATATCGGTATTTTCCATTTTTCTTTCCTGTGTTCTCTTTTTTTAACGATTGCGAATTCTTTAAATTTCAATGCGCTGTGATTGCCATCCTTTGTTGCTCTCGACTATATGGATGTTAACAGTAGAATGACTAAATCTATTATATTTTCAAATAAATTTAAATAGTTTTTAAGGCCGGTAAAATTTACAGTCGATATTCATAGTCGATTTTTATATTTAAGGTCGTTTTAAATTACAGTCTTAAGGTGTCATAAGCCAATCACAGAGTAGTGTCAGCATTTTTGAAACATTACTTAAAATGGTCTTAAACTTCTATTCAAAAATTGATATTCTAAACAGACTTAGAATTCAGCCGTTCTAATGTTTGTGATCTTCTCGCATTCAAATTATCTCTAAATATTGAGAAAGACATTTAAATACTTCTTCCTTTACATATAGCGCTCAATAATTTTTGATAATATAGTTTACGTAAGTTTTTTGAAATTACTTTATAAGTTTTTTTTTTTTTTTTTTAATTCGTTGCTATTTGGTTATACTGGGCATCAAGAATATCGAATCATAACGGAGCTACCATCCTCCTCAAAAGCGTTTATCTCTTTTACCGGAGTGTAAAATATAAATTTACTTTATTCTTTAATTCAATATTCCCGGTAAGCCGCGTCTCTCGTACGACCACGTTGGGAACAAGTATATTAAATCCGAAACATTTTACAACGAGCAGTTCATTATTTGCGAGCTGAATGCCAAGAAACATCCCGCAAACGAATCAGCACGAGCGTTTTCGCGCCGATATTGCGCTGCTATCTCGACGTTCGTTTCCCGGCTTTGCGGAGACTACCCTCGCACGAGAGGGCTGCCCTGTGAAAAGCAACTCGCAAAACTTGTTAATTTCGCGAGTACCGCCGCCGGGCGAAACGAGAAAAGAGGCGATGATGGCTCCGGGGAAATCTGCGAACTCGCGCATTAGAAAACTCCAGGTGCATGCAGACGCGAAGTTTCACAGGGCGATCTTGTTATTGTTTCTGAAACGTTTCTCGCGCTCTCCACCTGGAGGCTCGCGTACCGAAGGCCGAGGCGATATTGCACGATCGTATCTCGGATTTCTACCGAGTGCGCCTTGCAAAGATTGCACTCTAATTCCGGAAAGCTTCGTCCGTTCTTCCCGAAACACTTACAGAAATAAGATATTAATATTATACGCCAACCTACATTTATTCCTAAGTATCTTTGTAACATGTATATCTAAAGGAAATCATTAATTTCAGAAATAGGCGTATATTTGACAGAAGTGACAGAATTTCAATGTGACCGCCAGAAGCAACTTCCTACGAAATAATCGTGTTGCAAGATAGGTTGTCCTTGCAACGGTGTGAACCGAGACGGAAAATAAGGCGAGTATGGCACATCTTCGTTTGAATCGCTCAATGACGTTTTGAAGATCCGAAAAGAGCCAACGATAACGGTTCGGACGTTAAAAATAATTTCGATGATCGTTTATCCTATCTTTCGTATAACAGGTATGTCCAAAATGTCGATAATCGTCGCATGTTATCATTAATATAACGATAAAAAAAAATCGATCTAATTTATTTTATAATTGATCATCGTCAGATACATATAACAAAAATAGAATTTGTAATAAAACAGTCTGCAAAAAAATATTAACATTTAACGTAGTTTTTCTTAAAATTTAACATATTAGATAAATATTGATAGTCAATAAGCATAGTTAATAATTGTTTTTATTTTTTTAACGTAAAAACGCAGTAACAACGGGACTGTAACTTGTCATACCGAACAGGTATTTTTTTTTTTTAGTAAAGAATTAAGTCAAAGATATATAAAGGTCAACAATTTCACAAAACAAAAATACACATCGTAATGCAATTATCGTGACAATTTATTGATAAAATAACGTGTAGATGTCATAAGTCGGTATAAATCGAGATGAGTTTTAATTTAAAAAAATACTTGTAAATTGCTAAAATATTTTTGCATAATTTAGCCGGTCGCACATTTAGAAATCTGTCTACTTTTATCAAATCAGCCATATATATTCTACATAAGTTAATCGTAATTATTCATCACGTTTCATCGTTGCCGTTATAGTTACCTGATTTAAGAATTTACATACTCTCGATACTTTTAGACCTTTCTGTCGCTTGCTGATCCATAGGAATCTATTGTATGTCTACGTGCAGTATCTTAACTTAGATTTG